AAAAAAACATTGTTTGATTTCCCTATTATTTGAATATAAAGAGAAATCCGTTTATATACGAGAATAATTATTCGATATTATCGACACAGATGACGAAGAACACGTTATATGTTTATTTTACGTTCATACTATTCTTGGAAATTCATTCGGCTTGAGGGCGAATGCTATGATAATCGGCTGGTTCCTTGTTATAGGTAAATAGGTATGCGTGCTAGATGCAATGCATTTCGAGTTGAGCTCTATCGTTCAACAACATTACAGGCCCACAAAACCGTTAGTTTCTCATTAAATGTTAACAAAGTGTCCCTATGAATTTTTACCGAGATTTTCACATGTCGTGTTCTTTTTTAAAATTTTTGGATGAAAAAAATACAGAGTCGGATATTTCGAATATATAAAAAATAAATCGTAAGTAATAACGCAGTGATCCGTCATAAAGTGTTAAGATATTATTTATATTAGATTAATGTACCATGGAACATTGTTGTGATAAACGTAAAACACATCAACCACATTTTTTTCCACTACGACTCAATAACATCACATTTTATAGAAACAGGAAACATGCTCACGTTGTCGGTTATTTGAATATTGAGTATCAAAAATGTTTTTTTCTCTTTCAAAAATGGTTGTTTGACTAGATTAACTGCAAGTGTTATAGAAAAATGCAGTTTATGTTGCTTTATTTTTCTCTGTGCTTATAAAACATAACTCATATAAATGCAAATACTTTTTTTTAACGGAAGTCCATCAATATTATAATATTATCTTGTGTTCCTGAGAAAATATAAAAATGCAAACAAACGCTATATAAGAAGGATTGTGAGAATTACGTGTGCGTACATGGTAGTAAATTGAGTGAAATATGTATTGCACCCCAAAATCGGTAAACAAAAAAACGTAATAAAGCTTACATTTTTCTTCAACACTATTGTCTGCATTTTCATTACCCAAGTCAGTTATACGTCATTCTCTAACTTAAAATGAGAATGTATTAAAACGTTTCATATAATTATATTATTACAAAGTCGCGGAAAATCATTAAATGTCAGATAAGCATTGTTGGATCCTTATATATACGGACCTTGTTTTCCTCTCTATTTGATTATAATTTACTAACTGAAAACAATTATATTATTTCAATTGTTGTCGAGTCATTCAGTGCTATTGTCTTGTGCGTGAGTGCAGGGTACCTACGTAAACAAAGTGATTCTAATTTAGTGAATTGCTATTGGAACGTGACACAAAGTTTACGATGTGTAAATGTGTATACCAACACTGCAGCAGGCCTCCGAAAACGCGTAACGCACGCGACACCTGTGCACAGCATAATATATTTTTATTGATATAAAAAAGTAATAAAGACCGTTTCGTCGGACGAAATGTAAATAAATCGTTTTCGATAAAAAAAATATATAGCTGTACGCTTTTAAATAGTCGTGATGGGTACGGGCAGATGAAAACGGCTTATATATATTATATATAAGTGATTGAAAGTAAAACAGTAGATACCTAACACTGCGATGAGATACGATTACGGGTGAAGTGTACGCCGCCGTGGTGGGGACCGGAGAGAAATTTCCCCCGAGGGCGGTTGCGGGTCCCGGCCGTTTAGAAAGTACCAGTTTTCTGGAGAAACGATTTTCGTGGGACACGACATCGTTGTCGTATCGGAGGCACATAATATGTACCGCATTATAAATTATAATATTCTATCGAAGTATCGAAGTGCACACGTACACAACGTGTAATATATAAATCTCGCGTTGTGTATATTATATACCTACGATTCCGGTTGCTTTCTAGCTATATATAGCGTCCTGGCACGCCCACATGGTCGACACATATACGCGACCGGTATGGAGGTCACATCCTTGAACCCGTTTCGGTGGGAGCCCGCGCCCGTCTTCGCGCCCGCATCCGGATTTAGGTTTCCGGAATACCACTGGACGCGGTCAGGTCGGATATAGGTAGGTAAGTATATAATAGGTAACACATTCGCCCATTAAAATACGGATCAACAGCTAGTACGGTGGTCCATTATCAATTAACCGGATTGAAAAAAAAAAAATGAAAGAGCGTTAAAGAATATTTTTCCGTTTTATTGGATTTAATAAATTAGTAGGTAATAGTACCTGACTGATAAACTTTTGGTTTTAATGATAATGAAAAAAATCTCAATCCTTATGCTTTGTCAACCCGTAGAAAAATGCATGAAAATTTCCATTTTCCTTCTTTTGAAAGTTAATAATGTCACAGGTAGTAGGTACCCGGGGATTAGGGCTGGCTTCGGCAATAATGATTATTATTATTTATGCAGACGGATATTTGATATCTACTTGGCCAGACTTTACTCTCTCCGTCCTACACTCTCTCTGTCTCTCTCCTTCTCTCCCTGTCCGTCTGTCTTTCTCTCTCACTCTTTCACTCACTCACTCCGGGATAACATAGGACTGTTGACGTCATGGAATACAATATCCCGAGATCGTTTTCACCGTCGTTTGGGTAGGTACTGGCCATTTTATGAGACCTTTCGTTTCCACGCGGATACGGATATATACCTACGGTCGGCTGCGAAGACAGATACGACTTTCTAGAATCTAGAGCCATAGTCTTTGAGAATATTCTAATATTATTATAGATACGGCCGTCGAGCTAATCGTACGAGGTTGATACACGATTTATATACAGTTTGGAGTGAAAACGATCGTCGGTCAACGACAACAAAACTGTGTTCATCTATAATACCGGAGAAATGTTATAACTGTGTCTCTATATTATAATATACAATATTATTAAAAGTAGTCGAAGGTTGGACGGCGATTTTAGTGCATACAGATACGTTCAAATGTGAACACTAAGATAGGTTATATTGTGGTAGTTACTAGTTAGTATAACTGGTTATAACGGTTCAATCGTGTAAAAATATTGTAATTGTACCTCCGAACAAGGTCTACAATAATAATTAGTGTACATTTTAGGTTAAGTTCAACAAGTGTTGCATTAAATCGTAATAATGTTTTTACACGGAAAATAATAATAATAACATTATGCATCTCGAAATAACGATACAGCCCCGGGAAATAAATCGAAAATACACGTGTAAGGTGAGGTAAATATTGTACCTAAGATGTCGTGCAACGCGGTCGAGTCTCTCATTCGTATAATTAATATTTCCTTGTAATCGGTACCTATTGTATATTTAACACCTAACCGCCTCGGGCTCGACTGAAGTATGCGCTGCTTTCGTCTCCTTATGGGACAATTGATATTTGCAGGCTTGAATAATGAAGCGTGTTAAAATGCACACGAGAAAAAAAAAGAGATAAAAAATCCACACCAACGCACATGGAATAAACCATTCGGCAAAATACAATATATTATATTATTATTATACCTACCTATAGTATTGTAATTAATCACTGCAGTTCGTATTTGTTGGAGGTACGTTGGAAAATCGTACGCTAGCGTGGATGATAAATCACCGGAAAAGTTTCGATGGGAAATGAGCTCGATGTGGCGTAAGTATTTGCCTCGATCTATATAATACTACACTGTGCACAGCGGTAAATTCAGCACCAGGTACCGTATTATGTTATATTTATTATAATATTAAATATCTTTAATACCTATGCCGCTGAGGCGAATCTGTACACGCATAATACCCGGTGGACATAACGTTAATTATCTGGATTATGTTTTTCGTCTTTGAAATGTCTTGGCGATAGTGATGATTATAATATTATTATCATGGTCGTCAGTCGTCACGCCATTTCTATACATATTGTTTTAGTGTCAGACCAACTGCAAAATCGTCAGTGGCGCGTACCTAGTAAATACCTTATAACGTCATCTTTATTTGCTATTTTTTTTTTTAGCAACTATCGTGATATCCGAGGAATAACTAATAAGGTTCTAAAAATCTTATAGTTAGATATCGGGAAGCCAGTAAGGTTAGAGGCTTTATAGACCTTACTTGTTATAGACTGTGCACAACACAGTTATTCGTGTACGAACATGACCGACAGGAGTTGACCAGAACCTCACTCGCTCGGTTCATCCGTAGTCTCGTAATATAAAAAATTAACTTTACAGTTTTACACGTACATAGTAGATTAATCTCTTTAAAATTACTTTACGATCAATTCTAATTAAAATACGTGAGTAGTAATCGAAGCACGCAAACGAGAAATTCAACCATTTAATGGAGGCAACACCGAAGAGTGGACGTATAAAGGGACCCATCGATTACGCAAGTATAGGTGCAGATAAATTTAAAAACAACCTATCAATTTTCATCTGTGGCCAACTTGGTTACAAAGAACTTAATTATAATAGTATATATATTATTATAAAATGTAATCATAATATAATCGATATTTTATAAGTTATTTTTTCAAAATGTTAAATAATTGCCAGGTTTCAAAACTAATATTATTTCTTATAATGAATATTGGAAAGAAATATATTACTTTATAATATAAAATATATTCTCTAATTTATAATTGTTGATGGACTCTCTGTTGAATCTCTCAGACCTTAGTTCTCTTTTGAGCTGATTTGAAAAACAGAAAAACTGTACATTATATTATTATCAATAATGTACATACTAATAAATAAACGATTGACGAAATTACGATTTATAACTTTGTATACTCCCACTATATTTTCCTGGCTTGACTTGTGTGTCTATATTGTTGGCATTCTTTTCGGTTTAAAAAACAATAGCCCGACCCCGAACGTGTTAAACTTACAAATCAAAATTGGCGGAGTCAATGGGTGTTAAATCGCTGCACTTTGATGCAGAATCGATGAGCATTTTTTCCAAAAAGGTCTGATGGAAATATGGAATAGAATAAAGCATGCAGGCGCATATAAGTGGCCTAAAGAAGGTAGAAATAATCACAGGTAATCGATTCGGGACGTGTAGCGGTGATGGATGCGGTGAGGCGGTGGTGGCGTAACCGGACGAAAGTTACCGGAAGTTTTTATGCACTCACGCGCTCGGCTCTTGGCCACCGTCCTGGTCTCGCTGGATTCGTCATCGTCGTCGTCGTCATCGTCATCATCATCATCGTCGTCGTCGTCGTCACTGCCGCCCGTGGCACTGGCCGAAGTGTCGTCGTCGTCATCATCGTCGTCGTCGTCGTCGTCGTCGTCATCGTCGTCATCGTCGCTCGCGTTCGCTGGCGCAGGAGCAGCCGCGGCCGCGATGCTATTGGACTCGACAGCCTGCACGGAAGACGCGACGGACGCGGCACCGTCCTCGCCGTCAGTCAAGTCGTCGTCGTTGGGCACAGGCGAGAGCAGAGTGACGGTGTGTGGTCCGTCCTGGTCGGCGGCCGCCGCGTCGTCCACTCCAGCGCCGTCGTCATAGTTGACGCTGGACACTGAGGAGCCGTCGCCGCCTGTCCCGTAGTCCGACGAGTCGTCAGACGGTGATGACACGGACAGGCCCTGCACGGGCACCGCGGTGGTGGACGCCTGTCCGAACACCAGCGTGCTAACCGAAGACGTCTCGTCCTCTTCTTCGTCATCTATGATCATGCAATACACAAGAACAACAACGTCCGTTATTATGTGGCCGTGAACAATAATATTATTTCATATCGCGACATCGATAAAATAGTAAACAATAATAATATTATAGTAAGCTACTTTAAGTATTTTATATTTACATGGAAATCTGACAAACCCGTATCCTTTCGGCAGCAAACATCGCGAAGTTAAAATAAATAGCATACTTAGGTATTAAGTTATATTAATATATATATACACACCGATTTCCCTTATATTTTTTTTTGTACCTTCGCATACGAATGATGAACGAAGAAGAGTCCTTTCTATTTTATTATATTAATTACATACTTCCTTCGTCCTCGCCGTCGTCGCAGTCACCTTCGTTGTCTCTTAAAACATGTCTTCTTCGCCGGATCGCAGCTTACAGTACGACGATAGTATATATCATAAAGTCGGTTATTGTATATTATATTATAGGTACGTGTAGGTTACTGGTTTATATTGGTATACACGATCCTTTTTTTCACCATACCTCTAAAATATCGCCACAATCGGGATATTTTCTATGGTCTCGAGATTCAACCCGCAGCCCAACCCGACCGTCAATCGGCCAAAATTAAATATTATTATTATTATTATTATTACTAGCCTCGTCAACCTTAACCTACACGCCATTGAAATTCAAGTGAAAATGTAAACTGAACTTTAAGCCGTACGTCATAGTATATACTTATACAGACTTGTTATAATACATAATACTATCGTGTATCTCTTCTACTACATCCCAATAACAACTGGTACATATTATTATAATATTATTTTAACTATAATTGCACGTTATTTAGTCAGATATAATAATATTATATTAGGCCGATATAAATATATTAATAATATTATGCGCGTGTGGATCTATGTGCTAACAATAATAATAGTAATAATAATAATAGTTCGGCTTCGAGTTAGTACAATAGGTGCGTGGACAGGAAACGCATATTAGAATATAATGATATTATTATTTTATTATAACGGAAATTCTTTCCGGGCGAAATTCCTTGCAAAGGTCCTGCGAGCTTGCGCAACATTTCACCCACCACACACCATCCTGCAGGTATACATCACTTCACCACGCACAGTATAAAGCGAAACACTAACGTTTATTATGTATGTGTGGTGTGTATATGTCAGTATGTATGTGTGTGTGTGTGTTTGTGTGTATGTGTGTGCAGAATATACCTTCACCGTTATTGTTTTTTTCCCATACTTTTACTGTGTTATAATAATTGTTTATATTATTAATTAAACTCTGTACCTATAGTATGATCATAAAATAGTATTATAATGACAATAATGTACTCAGCGTGTGCACTGATAATAATAAGGTATGGATTTAAATTATTAACATAATGTAGTTTCAATGTATTCAAATCTGTTTATTTGCTGAAATATTTGCTATCACAGCCATGTTTTTTTTTTACTTTTTGATAAAAAAAAATTATAATTCGTTATGACACTCAAAGATATTAATATTATTATAATAAATCTTACTCTATATTGAACACGAATTAACATAATTTTGTTATGACTGTTATTAAATGACACACTACAATATTATTATATATATATATATGCATGTATGTATTCGTTATTCGAGTAGTTGTTGTTTGGTAACAAATTGTCGTAAATAAATATATATTTTTATATATTATTATATATTATATCAAATTAAGTATAAAAAAAAAATTATAGGTGTAATATTATAGCGTTGAAATATTGAATTTCTAATATCTAAAATAAATTATTAATTAATAAATAAATAAATAAATAAATAAATAAAAACTTTAAATAAATAAGTTTTGTTTTTACATTCTTAAATCTATGTCGTTGTTTTTGTTGTTGTTTTTTTTGTATATCATAGTGTTTTTGATCGAGTCCGTTAAGTAGTGAGATGAGTTTCTCGATGTTGTTTTTCACATGTCATATACAATGTAAAAATGTGTATATATATATATATATATATATATTTTTATGTACACATTGTCGTATCTTGATGTTATGTTTCTGTAATTGTTAGTCTCCCGTGGTCGATCGGGTTCGATCAACCTAAAAAAAACAAACAGACACACAATGCCAAAATTACACTCGTGTCATAGATTCCAACAGATGGCATAAATACGTAGGTACGTTATGTGGCGTGTGACATGCTACACGTACATCAAAATATACCTACAGGGGAAAATGGAAAAAATCTGAACCAAAATTTGTCCTCGCCGGATTGATAAATAATTATGAGGTATAAAAGGTTGTAGGTCGTGAGTGGTCGAAACCACTGTAGAAAATATAGGAGCGAAGTTGCACGTCGGATAACATTAGTGGCGTTTTACGAGACTCAGCTCAACACAGTAGACGCAAAGGTCTTTGAAAACGACGTAAAAAAAAAAAAAAAACCTGATAATCTGTGTATTATTATCGTTACTAGATAACATTTAGCATAACATTGCTTAACGATACGATCGGGGACGAATTTTGGCCGAATTTTATGCATATCGTTGTCGGGTAATTTTAACTTAACTACATGAAATGATCAGATGGATGAGTGAAAAATATAACATTTATGTCCTGGAACTATATATATAAATTTATACTACGGTAATAGTACAAGCATATACATAATGATCGTCCTGTGACTGTTATGAAACTGGCAGAAGCAATATTGAATAAAAATTACTATAAAACATAATTGTCATGTGTTTATGTTTACAGTTTTGCATTGTTCACTGTTCACAATTCGTTTTGGTAATATGTAGTGCTTTTGTGATGATTTTCGGTGTCAACGATCGAGAGTATTAATCATTGTTTATCGAGTCACCGTTATCAAGTGTGTAAAGCGAGCAAAGAAGAAGAAGAAGAAGAAGAAGAAAAAGATGATGAACAACGAAAAATAAAAATATAATAAAGCGAATAATAATATTATTACAAAAAGTGTGCACAACAGCGATTTTCTCAGCCACGTACCATTGCCCGGGATGTAATTATTATTATATGCCCACTTTGCAGGTGTACAATGTTATGTATAGGTATAGAGACACGTGCTCGGCGGTGACAGAAATCGTGACCGAGATCGGATTTTATCCGTACGAAATTGCGGGAAACTCATTTATTTATTTATCGGTTTTCGCTGTTTCTTTTTCCCGTGGACCGACATCGCAGTACGTATATCGCACGTTCGGTACGGGAGATTTCGAATCGCAGAAAAACGGTGGTCGACGAGAAAATGAACTCTGGCGAAATCGTCGAAACGTTTGGCACTGTCGACGGGTGATCGGGGGGGGAGAGGGGTCTGGCGTTTCCACCGTCCGCTTCCATTATCCGCCTTCCGTGAACTTAATCGATTTGATTGCGTGTCGTCTGAATACTGTTCGACAAGCTGGAAACGAATATCGATCCGATCAGATGGACACAGGAGGCCGCGCACGGTTGAGCCGACATTTTAAAATTTTTTTCGGTATAGAATTGTAGGCACACACAAATATGGTATCATCGACTGCACACACAGCAGCGGGAAACGAACGCGGCCAAACGTCGCTGAAAAGCACGAAAGTCCAACGTTCGGGATGATAGCAAATTACGTACGTACCTACAGTGTAGGGTTTTCGAATAAAACTCAACATGTGCGTCTGGGGGACGTGGGAGATTATCTAAAAGTGATAAAATCCAGGAAAAAAAAACCCTGCCCGTTATGCCAACTGTCCGACAAATTCTTGCGTTAGAGAAGTGAGGTGGGCAATGTACATAGGTACGTGGCGCAGAACAATAGATTAAGTGCTGCGTAAAGCCGAGTTCACATTGCACCATGTCACGTGGTGTTTCGTACATAAGTAACCATATGTTGGTTACCCAAAACGTTTCCTTCCTACAAGTTGAATACTATATTCAACTGCATACACGACAAGGCGTAATGAGAACCCTGCTTAAAGCTTTTATTTTTATCGTTTCCCCTGATGGTGCAGCATTTAAAGGCAATACGTGAAGAGATCGTCGAGTGACGCTCAATCACGGTTACACCATATATCGTGATAATATATGGCGTACGTGAGAAAATAATATTATTTAATTATGTAAATGGAAAACCGTGACTGACCTCCAAGGATGTCTTCGAAGAATCGGTCGAAGTAATCATCGTCTTCGTCTTCGTCATCGTCGTCGTCGTCGTCGCCACCGGAACTCGCGGCTGGGGCCGCTGTGGAACCGGAAGTCGATCCGGAAGCTGCTGCTGACTGATCAGCGGCGCCGTTGACGGCGTTTGCACTGGCCGGTTGTGGCACGACATCTTCTTCTTCCTCGTCATCATCGTCGTCGTCATCGTCGTCATCGTCTTCCTCCTCCTCGTCATCGTCGTCGTCGTCGTCGCCGGTGATGTCCAAGTCGACCACATCGTCGTCGTCATCGTCGTCATCGTCATCCTCGTCTGTGGACGCTTCCGGGGCGACGGCGGCCGGTGCGGACGGCAGAGCCACCGGAACCGATTCAGAAACGGGGGCTGGTTGCACGGCAGCTGCCTCGGCTGACTGCCGGCCACTGTCTGGCGACGTGGCTACCAGCTTGTCTGCCGTCTCGGGAGCGGCCCCGTTCGCATGGTGATGTTCCTTTTCCGGTTCGGACGTCGAGCTGCTAACGATGGGTGACGAGCTGGCGCTGTACATCAGCGCGCAGCATCCCAGACTCACGATCAGCACCCATTTTATCATCTGTAACACCATCGCGGCACAAATAAACACGCTATGTCGTTATATATATATTATATATACACACACACACACACACACACGATGATCTACGCTATAATACTATTATTATATTATGTACACGCCGGTAGTTCGGAGTGGCCTCCTCCCCGAAACCGAGTTTGGGGCTCGGGGGGCACCGGGTCCGAATGAAGTATATTTTTCTGAAGTACCTATATAGAGAGCCGAAACCTTGAAAAAAAAACCGTGTTCTCGTGGTTACAACCACGGTGTCCGAAGTATATACGAAAGTTGTGCATTTCAAAAACATATTTCGTGTATGTGTTTCGAGAAGAGGACCTAGGTATTTCGAGTTAAACGGTTTTTTTTTTTTTTGACATTTCGTTAAGCCGTCACCCGGAAACGTGGTCGAGGTACGCCGCTGACCCACACGCGTCCACCACATCGACCAGAAACTGGTTCAAGTGTATATTATAATCATTATATAACAATAATTATTAATGGTATAAATAATTCACCTTGAACCTTGGTGCGTTCCCAGAACGCCGCGAACAAACCCGTCACAGAACCACCACATTGCGTGTACCCTATTGCTAAATTGTAGGTAATATATATATATTATATATATGAAAATATTTATTATGTATTTACTACGCCACTACGCCACTACTTATGCGTTTTTTTTTTTTCGCCAACTATTATTTGATTTACATTATACCATATAATATATGACAAACATAGGTATATTAGATATACTGAGGTTGGCGTAAAAAAAAAAAATAAAATAAAATAAAACACCAAGCTAAAAATAAGCGCCTTTGGTTTGGCCACTCTTACGACGACAACCTGGAAAAGCGTTTGCGATTTGTGCGATCCCAGAACCCACGGGTGGAGGAAGTCATACAAGAAGTAATAATATTCTCACCGATAGATTGCGAGAAGGAGGCGACTTGACATCGCTGATCTCATTAGGGACACTAATGGAGATCGTGGTAGTGTCCAAGGGTTGTTTATTATATTTCTCATCCTGGCTCGTATACATCCTAAAATATTTAGGGTAATCTCAGTCCGAGTCTACACGCCAAATTAAAAATAAATTATTATTTTAATTTTATTTTTGTCATTTCTCGAACCGCTGACTTTGGCCTTTCGGTTATTCCACACGATCTTCCATAGTAAAATATAATATATCTGTTTGTTGTGTCTATTATTGTTGTTGATCAACGTGTACGAGTTTTAAATATATATATATTTATTTCATATTTATCGTATTGGAAAAAAAAACAAAACACTAACCTTTGAAATTTGTTAATGAAACGTCGTCTAGGCGTCAGTAATTTCCGCACCACGGAATTGATTTTCGGTTTACGATCCGAACAGTAGTCGCGAATCGGTGTAAAAAAAAATTATAACTCGCAACACTCTGTGTAATGGCACGCACGCACGGAATATTTGATGGTAAACGCACGCGAATCAGCAAACCGAACACACTGGCAGCAGTTGTACTACTCTCCGACTATTCAGTCAACTCTTAAATGCGCGTACTGAGCTTCGGCAATTGACTAAAAGAGTAGTTTAAACTTAGAAGAGCTATATACCGGAGAAGGTGCCGTTATAGTTGATGACCTGCGCCGCGCCAAGTGCGCGCCAAGAAGACTTTCCCTAGGACGTGGTCCCCCTCCCCTTCGTCCTCCCGGCAGCAGGAGAATAGTGTTTTTTTTTTTTAAAGACAAAAATCGTCAGCTATAACACACACACACATACACTCACACACTTACATACACATTCATGTCCATCTATAATTTTCCAATGTGAAACTCATTTTGTACATCCTATTTTATGTACCTCCGTTTGCATTCCAACTGCCCAAAATCATGATCACGGCCTTACGCCTGCGTCCGTATTACACCAATTATTATTATTATATTTTATTATCCTTTAAACATATTTATTATTTAAGCGTCGTCGTTACACTCGTAGAGCGACGTCATACGCTGATAGGACACATAATATTATATTACCTAGTTCGAATGGTATATATTACTATGACAAATATATAGTTACGAATTACGATGGTAATATTATTATTGTCGTATGGTGAATTATATATAGTAAATAATCATTTCACAAAGCCAATAATATAATATATAAGTTATAGTTTATTCTCTTGACCTTGGTCATTGAAATGTCTGGAGACGTGTGTACATATTTTTAACCATATCGGTTATTTTACAGTTAATATTTTAAAAAGTCAAAAAATAATAACTATTATTGACGTTTATAATATTATTATCGTATCGTACGTATTCGGGACGTTTACGTTTACGTGGTATGAGGTTCATACCAATTCTTCAGAACGTTGCAACGGGATTTCTAAATTAAATAATTGTTAATGAACGCAATTACTGATCAAACGTACAAAGTACCTATAACATTATTTTTGTTTATTCCGGTTCCGACGGTTATTGCTTCCAATCGCACTGCAACACATTGCTTATCAATGCCAACTTACTATACCATAGTAATCTGCACCTAGCCCGCTGTCTGTAACGTAACGCATTGACTTTTAAGCTGCCGTGCACGCTGTAGGTACATAATAACAATATAATACCTGTAGTACCTCTGAGTGTGTGTGTTAAAATTAAATTTTTATGATTCTATTGTCGCTGTGAATACAAGATATCTCTCGATTTTTATCGATTTTATATCTTAATGCTTTTGCTTTTGCTATTTTATCACTAATTAGTATTATTAATTATGTTTGTACGAACATTATTTTACAGCTTATCACAGCTATAATAAACGTCACTCACCTATTAAGTACCTATTATACACATGCGTTCACCTATCATATTATATTATTTTCAACAAGGTATGTGAATTTTTAGTGATAATTATAATCTATTTTGAGCGGAGTATGATTTGTAGGAAACAACGAGTTATTTTTGAAAATGTCTATGTATGCACTTGTGACTTATTGTTACTTAAGTTTACTTTATTCAGGGTGGCCCTTAAGGGAGAACTTTGTTGGTTATATAATATGTACTACTTGTGGTTTTGCCAGAGTCAAAAAATATGTAATATAGGTAGAATAGCACACCAAAAGAGCAAAACTGTCAAAGAGAGAAGAGAAATACGACGGCGTCGTTCTAAACTTTTTAGTTGTACGAATACTCAAGTACTCGACATTTAATTACTATACATATCATATTCATATACTCACAGGATGATTTATTGAATACAGAATACATTCACTAAATTTTGCATTGGAGCTACGGAGTTTCTATTACGTCACTTTACCAACTACAAAATAATAAGCTTGTTTTGTGAATACCTAATCTAATGTGTACCTAATATATGAAATAAATTACTTAATATCATTAATGTTGCAACAACTTACATCTATGGCATTATAAATATCTATATTATTTAACGTATGTCGGTAAAAGGTAGTTGAAATTAAAATAGGATATTATGTTCAAACAAATTTTTTTTTCAACTTTATGCATTGTTAACACTTATCAAGTTTTCATTATTTATTAGCACTTAAACCGACTTTCCAAAACTATTACATTCAACTATTTAGTAACATTGATTACTAAAATATGGAACGTGAAATCAGTAAATCATAGTATAATATTTATGTAGATCAGAATCAAATTAAAAATAGAAATAAGAAAAGATACATATAATTATATTAAAGAAGGTACATTGTGATTATAACTGTTATGCCTAATTAAGATTAAGGTTATGTATACAAATTATTATATTCCTTAGCCAATTGTTGCTGTGGCTTTTTCTAAAGATGAATAAAAATAGATTCTCGTATTTAAATTGAATTTACTATCGTAAAATTTAAAATATCAAATTAAATGGTAAATTGGTTTTATAATTATTTTTCATTAATTATTTGACAGTAAATATAAATTCATAGAAAAACAATAATTTTTAAATGATGCACTTTGTTATTAATTAATTAAAAATAAATTTGAATATGATTTAAAAATATAAGTAAAAAGAAAACAGTTGCTTAAATTAAAACGTCACAAATATTTTGTATAGATAAATGTTTGTATAGTTAACGAAAAAAAAACTTGAACAATAAAACCTTAAATTATTGTATTTTTTCATGAGCCAATAAATTATAATAAAGGTACTACAGTAAAAAAAAATCACTTCAGATGAACTTGAAAATTATGTTTAATTTGTTCTAAATTATAATAATAATAAAAAGATCAAATCAATATAATGTAATTTTACCCTAAGACCTAACCATATTACGATCAGTCTTTTTACAGTATAGAAAAATGCATGGAATATAATCCGTATTATGCCATATAAGTACGAACATCAATACTTTTAGATAAAATATAATATGAATATACACATTATGTCTTACACTCAAAACAATAAATTATTGTATCGAAGTCGGTTATCACAGGGATAAATATCGTGGAATAGAATATAACACAATATAAACTATTATTTCTACTTATTACTTAATATGTAGTCAGGTATTTAAGCAATTTTTCTAATTGATTGTATAATATGTATAGAATGACCTACGTTTTAGAAGTGTCCATTATTAGTACCACAAGCATTATACATTTCAAATCTATTTAATGTACAATGTATATATCAGTAGGTATATAATATGTGCGTGGTATAGTGACTATAGGGTGGTCTATATTATACCAGTGCTCATCAAACCTTTTGGAAAAATGATCCCCCTAAGGTATAGGACTATTTTTATACCATCAAAATCATTAAAATAAAACGGAATTTTTTCTTAACTACCTACTTAATATAATATATTATACTCACCGAAATTAAATTGTCGAAAACATAATATTGAAAACACAGATTAAATATATAGTAAATAGATACACCTTTTAAAGATCTTAAAACGTAGTTAAAAATATGTGTGTAAATTATTATATTTTCTTTCAATACCATTT